ATGAACGCGTTACCACATTGGGGAAACTAGGGAATTATTAGGGGTGTCCATTTTTTGGATCCTTTAGTTGGTCTGGAATACCATCTTTCCCCGAAGTATAGGGCAAGTACCTAAGGTCATGCAGTTGCTTTTGTTGTTGTAGTAGTATCCACCCTTTTTCAAACCCTGCTGACAAGCCAAAGATGGAGATGTCTTTTCCTTCAAGTTGGCGCCGGCCACGTGATAGCCCAGGATCCTGAGAGCAAGACTCGTTTGCGGGCTCACTCTATTTGCAGGTTCAGGGTAAGAATACCTAAGCCCTAAAGCCTAAACCCGAAATTAGAACCCCCAGAGAGTCGTGTTTATTACTCAGCTACAACCGCATTAGGGAACAGGGGCTCATAATGGGGGTGTTAAGTACAAGTACAAGTAGGTCACAAACAAGCAAAACTCAACGTATGGATCAACTCATACCATACTTCCCTTGTGATGTAAAGTTTAAGGGGGGGGCTTTATTAATCTAGCCCCTCCCCCTTAAACGGGATTGTATGTAGGATTGGTAGATTAAAGCCTCCTCCGCTTAACCGGGATGCTACTTGGGATCCTAGTACGAGGGGAGATATTAATCAGAGGTCTACACGGAGCCTAACACAGAAGACCTGTGACTCCAAATGAAGAGCCAGCGTTGGTGTAAACAACGATTTAGGGTTCAGGGGTTTGGGATTAAGGGCTTAGGGTAGTAGTAAGAATGGCGACAACCGTATCTTGTAATAATATTAAATACTACTAAATACTGCAGAGTCCAAGCTGTGAACATTATAGGTTGCTTCAGCATCCTTTGGAGAGCGAGCTTGCAGAATCCATGATTTCAGCAAACGTCAGCCTTTAAGAGATACTGTCCAACATTACCGCATCATCTTCCTGAGGATTCAGATCTAAGGTGGGGTCACATAATGCGAGCTAGCAGCTTCTCCAACTTGAACATGTCCCCGGAATAGCTGTCCGGAAGTTTGCCTGAAGGATATCAAGCAGCGGCAGGCTCCAAAAAATTCTCAAGAAGCATCTTAGAAGACAGTCTCAACTGAAAAGAACCGTCCTGAAAACGACTGTGCCAGGCTGGCAAGGAACCCACCCACGCAACTACCGCTAACCTTCAACCATGCCTGATAGCAATCAGGCTGATGAGAGATAAAAGAGTGGAAAGGAACCCATGCAGCTGCATTGCCGAAACGCAAACCGCCCCGCAGAAGAGCAATACAATTTCACTGAATTCACCCCCATGAGTCTAGAGACGTCAAGCCAAAAGTACATGTCATGTTGACGTCTAACTACTCTGAGGCATTGGCGCAAGACTTTTTGGGGGACCGTACTTGACAATGGCAGCCAAGGAAGAGGGGCAAGGGCTATGAGGTCCGCATGACCAGGGCACACCCAAGCATGACCTCCACTACAATCCGTCACCCCACCCGGCGATAATGTCTGCTTGCATCTGGGAACAACGACCAGCAGCATCCATAACCTCAGTGATGCTTAAGCTGGGACATGATTCCCTATAACCAGAACACTCCCTATCTACGCCTCCACATGGTTAGACATATCAAAAGAGTTTAAAATAGCCAAAGCTGAGATACATACAACGTTTATGCATGAAAAAGTTTCTTTCAAATCCCCCACAAACAACCCCTTGTGCATCTGTGCTCGCCCACAGCTGGAATGCTGAGCGAATGAGGTTCGGAACACAAGCCTATAAAGCAACAGAGCGGCATGCAGGGTCTAGGGTATAGGGCTAGTACCACAATGGAAAGCACATGGAGAAGAAGAGCAAGGAACATGAAAAACAAGATGGGATGATGTAAGGATTTATGGTGTAGAGATGTTATGAAACATTGTGTCATCTATAACGGCATTTAGCCAGACGATAGGATATCACCTGGTAATAACTTGAATCCCCCTACCTAGGACATGAATTAAGAACACCATGCCTCAACCCATGGCCCCTAAACCTTAAAGCTAAAATGCTATGGATATTCACTCCCCGCTCGCACCTCAAGCTCAAGCCCAGCAACGCATGGCAGGATTATGTCAAAACTGCCGCGGAGGATAGAGATCATACCTGGATCAAAGGGTTAGTTGGTGGTTCACAGTCTAGGGTTGATATAGGCTTCAGGGTTTAAGTTTAGGGTTGGGATTTGGGTCCGGGCTAGACTGACCACAAATTGAGGCCGTTTGGGGACTTCTTGGCCTCCTCTAGTGGTGATCCTACGACTTGCAGATCACCATCACATTAAAACATTACTGATGGGCGTTTGTATGAAGAAATGAAGAAACGTCGTCTTCTCAACACTGATCAAGATGCCAACATTCGAGACACTCACCTGCACGTGCGCAATAAAGGTATGAGAGGCGCTTTGGGGAGGGGCCCCTTTGTGAAGCGACTAGAGATCAGCCATCTTATGTTGTGCTGCGCAGGGCCAGTGCAACCAAATTGAGAGAAGCGCTACCCTGAGCATAGTTGCGATGACAACGGCGTGGTACATTTTGGACGTACCAAAAACATGCACTAGATTGGGAAAGCGATGGGCAACTTCAGCTCTGCCCGCTGAACTGTACGAGAAACAGCCACGTGCAGGGATGCTGCCGGCCTTCTTCAAAACATCGGTCAAAGTCTTGTGGTACCTTGGGAAGATTCAGTTAGTCTATAAGAATCGAACTTCCATGGAAGCTCCGAGTTTTGAGCTGAGCCAAAATCTAAACCCCCAGTATCCCCTTATAATTATCCCTACAATACTCCCCTGTATAACAGAAAAATCCACATGAGGCGTTCAACCTCAACCCAGGTGCTCGTCGGCTCGGATGAAAACAAAGGCGGCGCTGTAGGCCAACTTTGCCCCAAATGTGAGGGCAAAGAAGGATTTGCCTTTGAGCCAGGGAGCCACCGGGTGACAAGATTAAGCGGGCTCCCAAAAACTAGGGCTACTTTTATGGGGGAATCTCTACAGTACCGAATACCGCGTTAAGGGTGTATATTAGGGGCATGTTTTTTGGTGTATGTTGGAGTACTCATGGTAAGAAGTGTCATTTCAGGATGTCGTACCCTTCCACACAAACATGGAAACCCGTATTAGACCTTGGGTACTGCCCTAACAATCCATTAAGGGTCATATTGAGGGCTAAATATAAGTATAGTACAAGATTTGTCCAACTGTTGGTGGGTGGAGCACTACCCACAATTAACGGGTTGAAATTGCCTTGCAAGGCACCTTGTTCTGGTGGCGGCTCGTTTTTTTTTGGGGGGGGGAGCTGTTTGAGAACTCGGGGCTTCTCAAAACGGTGGTACTCTTGAGAACCCCAGGAAAACATCGGGCTCGTTGGTCAATTCTGTGTCACTCCTAAGTATCACCACTGCCAAATGCTGCTTGCTGCTTGCACAGGACCAGGACCTCAAGGTCAACGCCGTTCTGTATTTGGTTCTTGGTTTTTGCTTGTGCTCAGCACCGCCCTCCTCTTCCCCTGGAGGCAATTTGTTGCAGTTGAGTGTTGAGTGTGTGGCATGACCCTCTCCAAGGAAACCCTACACCCCAGACCCTCAAGCCATGAACAAACTCTCAGGACCCTTGTCTGGTGGTCCTGAAAGAGCCGTAACATTTTCAGGGGTTCAGCTAATTTGAAGTCCTAGGTTGCTGCTAAGAAACTTATATTATGTTACCATATTGGGTATATGTATATAGATGTAGTAGATGATTATAGTAAATAATAGGGTTTCCCCAATATAGTAACTCAAATTAAGTTCCTTAACATCAAACCAGAATCAAGGGTCAGCTAGGCTAAGTGTGTCATAAGCGAATGATGCGAGTTCAGCAGTCAAGGTACGCTCAGTATGCGCATCGATCAGGCCCACCACAGACGAGACGTACCTGAAACGTGCGGGTCCGTAGCGGTTGGGGAAACATGAGCATAGCTTCTAGATATCCATTGGTTTGACTACAGTAGGGTTGCCTCTGCCTGCTCCGCTAATCCTAGACTCTAAATCCTCAACCTGACACCCTCACTCCTGAATCCTAAACCCCTAAACCCCTAAATCCTCAATCCTAGATCCTAAACCCTATGGGGGACTCTTACCCGTAGGCTTGCTTCTGAGTGACACGACACCGTAGAGCAGCAAGTGTGCAACCAGGCCGGACGAGAGGAAAGGACGCAGGCCCCGGCTGGGAAGATCCATCCTGGCTTAGGGCTTAGGGTTTAGGGGTTACGGTTTAGGGTTAAGGGATTTAGGGTTTAGGGTTAAGAGCCAACTCTTAACTCCAAGTATTCCCCTTAATAACCGCCGTAACATTCCGCAAGCCCCTCCAAGGAGTTTAGACTATAGCTCATCTGACGCCATAATGGCTACAGTAGCTGCTACAACATAATACTAACATAACAATGAGAAAGAGAATGGAAACTACTGTAATATTTAGGATTCTTATTTCAACCCTTTGGTCCAGTATTTAGGGTGTAGGGTTTAGGGTCTAAACAAAATGCTCCACTGTAGCTCGTTTTTTGGGGTGGTATATTATAAGTATCCCTTACCAGTTTTTGGTGGAGCATCCAGGGTCTAAACCAAAGGTTCGAATGTAGTTCCTGTTTTGGGTGGCATATTAGAGTAATCCCTTATACCAATTTAGGGTTTAGCGGCTGGGGTCTAAACCAAATGCCCCACTGTAGTTCTTTTTTTTGGGGGGGGTGGTATATTATAGAAACCCCTTACCAATAAAAAGTCCTTTACCAATAAACATAACAACCCAAGGAACGACACTGGAGCCCCTGGGTTATCTTTTGCAGCTTTTTCCTGTAAAATTGGGCTGCGCGGGGTCTGATCTAATGTCTCGAAGGCTGTCATGGGCATCAGGCGACAGTTTATAGAAATAGTCTAAACTCCTAGCATTCCCCTCGAAAGCCCCTCTAATGCGCCCCTATATTATATACTTCCCAAAATAACCCCCTTTAAGAAGTTTAGACTATGGCTCATGTGAGAAAAAGCTTCACGAGCCCCTTGGGGTATCGCGGTGGGGGCAGGAGCACTTCTGCAAAAGCAAAAATCTCCCCCCAAAATGGCCCAGCATCGGCGCAGCACGTTCATAAGCTGCACACCAGTTCAGCATGTCATAGGAGGCCCAGCCGTACATGGCAAACGAGATCCCGATAAGGAGCCATTTGAGGAAAGCACTCTCCTGAGCGATTGCGAAGTGACAACATCTTCGCAGACATGATGGAAGACATGCAGCAAAACTTCAGGAGGAACAGGCAAGGGAATATATTATATGGGTATTCTATAGGGATTATACTCCCGTGTTCCCTACTAACCAGCAGGAAGCCAAGAAACAGTAGCAGTGGCAACCCAGCACAAAATCACGTAGATGTTCGTCACAATGAGAGGACGCGAGACCTCTCGCAAGGGGCGGCCCAGGGTGCAATACCCTGAGAGAATGAGCATGATCCTGGGTTGCTGTTGGGGTTACATAGGGTTTTTATGAGGTTACATAGGGGTTATATAGGGATGTATAGGGTTTAGGGTTTATAGGGGGTTTCCTTATAGGGGTTATATAGGGATAAGGAAAAGAAAATGGAAACCCAGGATCGGCACGTTGATGCCCCATTCCATGTACTGCATGGTATAGACCTGAATGGCAGAGGCACAGAATCTCGGTGAGTGTGCTTTGTGGCATACTTATTAAGATGCTGGGCCGCTTGGTGATTGTCTACTTGCTCCATCTTCTAATCCCCTCCCCCCGAATATAAACCCCCCCACCCCCCTAATATCAAAAACTCCCCATTGTGGTATAGTATAATAAGCTGGGAGTATAGAAAAACAAGGGGGAGGTGAATACTCGCTGATAAGGGACGGGGCGGCCAGGAGCAGTCAGTCCATCAGGACTCGGCATGACGTGTGCAAAAGTCCACTCGGCGCGGGAGAACAGACGCTCAGCAGTGGCCAGCACTCCGAACATCACCTGCGCAGTTTCGGGCTTGGTTGTTGTTTAACGCGGCTTCTTGACCCTGCCTGATGGCGCAATGACTGTCCAGAGGGCTTTGAGTTTCAGGGCTCATTCAAAGGATTCAGGGATAAGAGCTGATCTAAGGTTCAGAGTTGTGGGCAGCGACCATTGGCAGCTGTGCTATCGATGATAAGCACACGTATCAAACAAGAGGAGCAATGCTAAGGAGCCGCGATCCTGTCTTTGAGGACTTCACATAGAAGTTGTTGGTTGCAAAGCTCACGAAGCAAGCCCGAAACCCTGCAACCCTCAGCCACACATGTTAAGCAATAAACTGTGAACTCAAAAAACCAAAGCAAAAACCTTTCTCAGGAGTCTCCAGTCACAGCAAGGAGCAACGTGGGAAGGAAGCGGCTCTGTAAGTGCGGCACCAGTGCTTGCGTGTCCTGCGCCCCCATGTACGTAGCAATCAGGCTCAACACCTCGTGACCCAGCATAGCCACCAGAGCAGCCGCCGAGATCACGTGGTAATATCCTTCAAATCATAAGGTTCCCTAAGTGTCCAAGAACCCAAATAATGGGATGTTAGGGCCCAAATGCTATGGTATCAATGCTATTTGGGCCCTAAAGCCCTATCATTTGGGTCCTTGGACCCTTAGAGTAAGGTTTTGGCTGGGCACGAGGCTTTACATCGGAAATCGGTGTACGTTGGGTCCCTCGTGTCTAGAGTTTACCTAGAAAGCCAGTAGCCCATAATTATAGTCTACTTCCCCCTTATTTCCTACTACTTTGGGTCATAGTAGCCCATTATTATTACTAGACTTCTAGGTAGGGTTCCGTGCTTGTTCACTATCACGTATATCAGGATGCTGGGAATTGAGGATTTCTTCGGTCCCTTGCTGTTGAGTAACCTCTCATCCTCTCTTATGCTGGGCAGCTATGACTAACAGCCTAACGTCCTAACAAGCCAGTGTCTGTCAGTTCCCTTGAAAAAGTTTGGGGGGCTTCAGAACTTGCGAAGATTGGTGCTGCGATTGGGCTTCTACTGCCATGAACTACTTTGAGGGACTCTGGAGTTTGGTAACATATGATATCCCCCAGAGAGTCCATTATAACTCTACTGTAGCCCATTGTAAGTAGTTCCCTAACCCAGTAGCAGCTCTAGGTCCCTCAAAGTAGCCCCAAAGCCTAAACCCATCTAAGCGCTGAATCCTTATCTCTAAACCCTACCTAGACCCTCCAATGTAGTACCTTTTTGGTAGTCTTAATAAGAACCGTAACCAAAAAACCATACCAAACCCAAAAAGGAACTACATTGGAGGGTCTAGGTAAGCCCTAGTCCCTAAACCTATGTATCCCTATATAACCCTATCAACGGAACCCAAAGACACTTCCTCAGCAAGGAATCCCCCGAGCCCTCCATCGACAATAGTTCCGTTACATGGGGGTTTTCCAAAATTAGGTGCACCTTATCGGGGGTCCCTACAAAAAGGATTGTATATAATATTTTGGGGTCTATATTCGGGTCCCCCTATTTAGGGAAAGTATCACACAGGGTTTAAGGTTCAGGGTCTATGTAAGGGCTCAGGGATATTTAAGTGGAGAAGAACACAGCGAATGAAATGGAAACTGGGATCATCTTGCGGTGTGTAGAGCTGAGGGTTACTAAAATCAGGCGTACCATTTTGGGGTTCTCCATTATCGGGATCAGAACCTTAGACGGTCTATATCGGGAAAGCTTATGGAAATTACCAAGTATACTTACCCTAAACCCTAAACCTTGCAAGCGCTAAGACACCATAAACCTCAATAACAAACCCCAAGCCCGAAATACCCTAAACCCCAAAAACCCTAAACCCGAAACCCCAAACCCTAAACCCTGAACTCTAAACCCTAAACCCTGAACCCTAAACCCCAAAAACCCTAAACCCCAAACCCTAAACTCATAGGTTGTCCTGGGTAGCTTTGGAGATACTTTGCACAGGTTGGAACTTCATGGCAGCTCACCTTTGGCTTCTTAGGGCTATTTAGGGTTTAGGGTTTAGGGATTAGGGTTTAGGGGATTTTGTAGGGGATTATATAGGGGACTACTATAGGGGTTATTAAGGGGGATACTAGGAATTTAGACTATAGCTCATATGGGGGAGCAGTTAGGGTGTAGAATTAGGTTTAAGGTTCAGGTTGAAGGTTTAGGGGCCTAGGGTCTAGGTTGAAGGAGTTTGGGCTTTTTATATGTTTGCAGGGCTCAAGCTGTAGGAAGTTTGGGCAGTGTTGATGGGAGTACGAGCCCGCCTGACGGCTAAAATTCAACATCTTGTGGGGCACCTTCCAACCCACGGGTACATCTAACGAAGCCCTAAACCCTAATCCTATAAGGGAGGCCCAGGAACTAATGACCATGGGCCCCCTAGGGGGGCCCATAAAATCCACACTAAGCCTAGTCACCGGCGAAGCAACAATCCAAGAGATTCCCCATGTGATCGCAGTGATGAGCAACCAGATGGCGACGTTGGGAAGGAGTCCTGCAATTTCCGAACCCGTGGAAACCGTTGGTACAATCCCTCTTACTAATACCTTTATGACTACTGTGATTGTTAGTAGTGTTACTATCATGTCTAGTAGTGCTATTAAGAAGCATTTAACAAACTTAACGATACGCATGTAACTTCCTTACAATAAGAACCCTACCCAATATGCTCAAGTAATGGGGTTTGTATGCTTCTTAATCGCCTTAAGCGATGGAAACCAAGTCAGACCATGTGCAAACCCTCAAGCTGCAAGGAAGCTGTGAACCTGGCCTACTGCCAGATTCTAGCTGTTCAGCTTTTGCTAAATGCCATCTAACTATGAGCCAAGCTTGTGCAATTACGCGATAAGGGGTTAAGGGGTTTAGGGACTTATCCCCAAGAACGGAGAATCAACTGGAAAAGAACATGGACAATAAAATGGAAAGTGGGTTTCTATATGCAATTATATGGCTCTTGAAGCTGTAGCGGTTTGAAGAAATACCAAAACCATTCGGAATCCTATTTGAGGTACCTCATACCATCACTATACATAAAGAATCTAGGATCATGATTCTGGAGCTCATGAAGGCTTCCACATTACACTTCTGCAGTTCCCTGGCGATCCGTCCTTTGCCCACCATGACAGCACGGTCTGCGAGCTTAGGTGCGTCAGCAATCTGGAACAGGAGCTTGCCAACAAATAGCTGCAGGGAGTGAAGCAGTCAAGCTATCGTCCCCCTTAAGTTGAGAGAATATGGGAGGGTTATATAGGGATAATGGAAAAGAAAATGGAAACTACTATTTAGGGCTTATGGTTTAGGGATAGAATATGGGGTATATGGGGATCTTATTAGAATATACCAAAGCCATATTCTATCTACTTAAGGGGAACTATAGGCTTCAGTCAGCAAAGCACTACGGAGGCTACTTGAAGGTCTTCACCGTCGGGACCCCGTCCCCAAGCCCTAAACGCTGAAGCCCTCGACTCTGTAGTGGGACATAATTTTTGAGACGCTTTCACACCTGGCAATTTTGAATGGGGACCCCGGTAGCGGGACATAGTTTTCAGACACTTTCACACCTGGCAACTCTGAATATAGTCCCCCTTAAGTAGATAGAATATGGGGTATGTGGAGATCTTATTGTAATATATGCCCAAAGCCATATTCTATCTACTTAAGGGGGGCTATAGCCGCATGAGAAAGGCTGCAGGAGGTGTACATACCCAGCCAGGGTTGCGCCACTACCGTCGTTCTGAGAACCCACAGAGACGAACCCAACATTCTCAGAAAGCCCTAGAGTAGTTCAGCTGCCGTGACACTTGGTATTGATAATTTGTTGTTGTGGGGTAGGTCAATAATTCTCATCGAGCTTACCTATTTCAGGCTTGTTTGGGGTCTATGGGAGGTGTCAAATAGCTTCGGCCAGTGCTCCAGTATGTCTCCAGGTCCTAAATCCTAAGCCCTAAACTAGGGCAGAAAAAAAAGAACATAA